CAGCAGGTCAACTAAACGAAATAGAATAAAAGGCTCTAAATACCCGATCAAAGCGACTATAGCAGCGAACTTCTCCTTCAGGTCTGTCGTCCATTAACTGCCCGCCTCCCAAAACCCCTCGAAACTACAAAAAATTAGTTTTGAAAATGGAAAAATTGAAATTTTGGAAAAATTGTTCGTCATAAGGGTCCCCGCCCATGAACTTTTCGACCTTCGGCCGATTTCGAGGGAGACAACTCTTGCCCCCCTCCCCTCTTGCGGGCCTGGCTCTATCTGTACTATATACTCCTTCCAGGTATTCCAGTTGAACGAGAACGAGTAGAAGTCCTCCACATCCTCGCGGCTGCTCGATTCGTTGCCGAGCTCGGGCATTGGCCGCGGAATCGAGAATCTAAAAAAGCCATAAAAATCTTCAAAAAGACTAGTGCAAAAACTAAAACTAAAAACCATAAGAATCATTTAAAAATCAATTTACCGCCCATTTTCGGCAAAAACGGGCCCGAGCAGCTCGTAGAAATTCTTGGCATGCACCTCCTTCTCGTTCGCACGTCGTTGCAGTATTTCGAGTCCACAGAAGCGTAGGCGCGACGCTTCGCCTCGCTCATGCTTACAACACCGAAATCGCGTTTTATAATGGTGATCATGGTTTTTACAATGCACCACGGGCCATTTTCAAGAAGTGTACGTCCACCCTCGGCTCTTTTCGAAAGCTTGGATAAACTTTTATCCGAGAAACTCGCATATAAAGAACATAACGCCGTACAGAGCAATTAGGGGGGACTAGAGAATGAGAGATGGAGACAGAGATATAGAGAAGGGGCGGGGGGGGGGGAAAGACCGAATCACAATCAACAAAACTGGGCACTAAAGAGTGGACATTGGTGTGATATTGATGAAGAAAGAGGATGAGGAGGAGAGGAACACGATATATGATTTGGAAAGGGTCAATCGACAAAATGAAGCTTACGGCACGTCGCTAAACTCCGGAAATCATCATGAATTTTTGAGAACATTGGATCCGAATACGCCCTGAAAATCCAGCAAAAAATTCGTGGGTCCCCATCTTTAGATTATTGATGCGGACCCAGCAAATTATAGCCTAAATTTCGCCGTAAACCTCAATTTGCCGATATATTACAATAAAAACGAAAGGATCTGTGTGAGAAAATTTTTCGGTTCTATCGGTTTCGCGGGCGGCTTCTTCTCGAACTTGCTCCTCCAAGCCATGAACTTTCAGCGTTTGATGCAGTCCTTCTTCGTACGGTCCGGCCTTTCAGAGCTTGTCTGAAACAAACACAAAATAAAAAGATAGGTCGCAAATTAGCTGGATAATTTGAAAGCCTATTTTCAATTACGAAGAGAGTCCGGTTTTACGGACAATTCCCCCAGGAAAGGCTAGCAGAGGCCATTTGGGGAACGAAAATGGCCAGCCAGAACAAAGAGCAGGCTAGCAGCAGCTATTGATGAAACTTGGAATATTGCTGTAAAAGCTAGCGGAGAAAAATTCAGAACTCGACTTTTGGTTCACGACAAGACGGGCAGTATAAGCATTAGGATCCATAAATGTACGTACGGCCGTCGACTTACCGCCCGGTTTCCATTCACATAGGCGGCGATTTGGTTCCAGCGGTTGTACCTTCCGGGCGGATAGAGGTCGGCCGCCTGAAAAACAGATTAAAATTCAGGAGGCCTGTTCAAACACCGCCGTTTGCATATTTTACCAGACCCGCATTCGGAGGTCAGGCTAGCAACGGGTCATTTGGGAAAGATTTGTTTCCTGAATTGAATGGAAAGTCATTGGAAAGATTCCGCGGATTCGTGAAAGATTTGGCAAAACTGCAGATAACTCTTTGGCATGCTAGCAAAGGTCGTTTCGGAAACTCTAAACATTTAAATTTGATCTAATAAAAACTCAAAGTAATAAAAAAATCTTCAGGGCCTCTTTGAAATCCTACTATCCTACTATATATAAAAAAATAGTGTCTGTGTGTGTGCATTTGCATGCAACTTCCGTGAGGTTATCCTCTCACAGCCTCGGGAAGGTTTTGGGGTACGTATGATACGTGCGTTGTTTGCTATGTTTTAGGTGCGTAATGGTGCCGAGATGAGTGCACACATATCAAAGCTTTGAAAAATTACTGTTTTCGCAATTAAAGTGGGTTTTGTAAAAGATATGGAAAATCTCTTTGTTAGGAGCCAATTTGCATGTACCGGATTTCAATTTTTCCGATGTACCAGATCTCCCGAAAGTACCCGGGGTTGAAAAGCCATGAATCAGTTTTCAACCCTGGTATATAAAAAATAGTGTCTGTGTGTGTGTCTGTGTGCATTTGCATGCAACTTCCGTCAGGTTGTTCAAATGTGAAGCCATCTCAATAAGGGGAGTAGTTAAGGGCATATTTGATAAGTCATTAGGTGCATGTCGGCCTGAGGAGGACTGCATGCCAATAAAATTTTCAAAATAGCAGGCTGTTTTCGACGTTAAAATTAAGTTTTTTGTTGAAAAATGGGCCACCCTCTTTGTTAAGGAAACAATTAGCATACGCCGGAAGTTGCGGTAGCCTATATAAGCCACAGAAGTAGCGTTTTCTCATTTTTGTCATCGAAAATCGTGAGAATTATGCAAAGTGAAGAATATCATCGGATCAGACGGGGGGCCGAAAGGGATGAAAAGTCATGAGAAGCAGCGCTTTTCCAACCTATTAACTAACAAATTCAAACTGTTGCCAAAACATTTCCAGATTTGGCTAAACTCTTAAAGGGATAGGGGCGGCATAAGGCAATCGATTACGCGCGGGAAAGAAAATGTCTCTGCGCCTCTCCTCGGGCGCCCTCCACTGCATCTGTTGAACCCCCCTCCCCAAGGGGGTTCAGCCAGATAGTCCTCATCTCATTCAGGCTTCTGGAAAGATGGGACCAGTCAAAACCAGAGGGTGTGCGCCGGGGCGGGGGGTCGAACCAGGGATGGTCCGCCCGCAGTCCAACACTTATACCTCCCACACCAACAGGGTCGAGTGGGGGAGCGCGGCGGAGTTTAAGTACCCTAGGGCCGTCCCCGTGGACGTCACTGGGTAACAATTTAAAATAAAGCTATTTATAAATAGTAACCAGCGGGAGGAGCCGCTTCGCGACTCTCCCCGCTGGACCCCATCTAGGCACTATGGTGGTCACCTTTTCCAATCCACTACTCAGAGAAGGGTTTCCTCGACACTCTCTGTTTAGCCACCAATGATCAGATCAGTTTGTCCTCTTTCTTCGGCCTGCGGCGCAGCTTGAGCGGTCTGCTTCTGTTTTCATTTCCGCGGCGCAGCTTGAGCGGGTAGCTTCGTTTCAAGCCTCCGCGGGCTCGGCTTGAACAGCTAGCTTCGATTTCAAAGAGCTGCAGCGCAAGCTTGAGCAGCTAGCTTCGTTTCAAAGCCTGCGGCGCAGCAGGGCAACTAGCTTCGTTTCAAAGCCTGCGGCACCAGCTTGAGCACGCTAGCTTCGTTTTACAAAGCCTGCCCGGCGCAGCTTTAACGACTGGCTTCCGTTTACAAAGCCTGCGGCGCCGGCTTGAGCAGCTGGCTTCGTTTCAAAGCCTGCGGCGCGAAAGCGGAGCAGCTAGCTTCGTTTCAAAGCCTGCGGCGCAGCGAGGCAGCTAACTTACGTTTTCAAGCCTGCGGCGCCCAGCTTGAGCGGCTGGCTTCGTTTCAAGGCCTGCGGCGCCCCACTGAGCGGCTAGCTTCGTTTAAAAGCAAACTGTATTTAACTTCAAAGGTTAAAATAGGAATTAAAAATTGACCGTAGTAAGAAGAAGGATCTCCTCATCCGTCCACAGCGCATTCTCCGCCTCTTTGGTCGTCGTGTTCTCCTTGTTGGCCTTGCGGGCCATCTCAGCGGCGGTACGAGCACGGTTCTTCTCCTCCTGAAAAAATTACATCAGCGAAATAGTACGGTACCATATACTTTGCCACTATACTTTCGAGGCCTTGAAATGTAAAAATGCACTGTTTTCTCCTTGGAAAATTTTTTGTGTTAACAAAATCTACTATATATAAATTTCTAATGTCCGTGCGCCCGACCGACCGCGACCGGGAATTCAGCACAATTTTGCGTTCAAATTCCGAATTCAAATTTTGTAGGAAGAGGGCCAGCGCTGAAGCGGGGGGTCAGCGCTGGTAATCTCTAAATTCGGACTTTCCAGTTCGTTTTAGCCTCAAAAACTGACCCAAATAATGCCGATTTTTTTCACGGGCAAACCCCAAATCCGTATCCCAATTGCGAAAATGGAGTCGAAGATGCGTAAGAACCAAGGATTTGTTCACCGATGGACGGATCGTGGGATCCGGATCGGATCTGAATCGGATCCGGATCAATGCGAATCCGAGGAAAAAAGGACCAGGTAATATTCTGGATTCAGATGCTGATTCGGTCATGTTAATCGCAAAATACATAGCCCAGAGCCCAGAACTGATCTTTGCATCTAAGTGCTTACTTAACTCGGTTGCATGATCCATTTCCTTGGATCCGGATCCAGTCCGATCCGAAAATGACCAACCCTGGTAACAACGTTTTAAAAATAAAAGTTTTTGGCTAAACTCCAGATAACCCCAGCCGGCCCCCACCTGCGTATCTCGGCTCCCTGTTCATCTACAGGTGTGTGAGTATACCAAATTTTCGTCTTGCTGTAGCGAGTATTTTGGATACTCCGCACCTGTAGATGAGCTGAGAACCCGATACGAAAATTGCCGGCTGGAGAAGGGAAATATCTGGAGTCTTACCTCAAGTTTTTGAAATTACATTTTTGTTTTGCAAATATTTTTCATAGAAAATTCTGGATTCGAAAGCCTTTTACACGGCGAGTTTCAGGCCTGGACCAAAACCCGGGCCGGCGCCGGCCGGAGAAAATCGGGATTTTCCGGGCCGGGCCGGGCCAACGGGCCGAGAATTTAAAAAAGCCGGGCCGGCCCGAGATTTGCTTGCCGACCCGAGGCTAAGTACAAAAATAGGTTTTTGGACGGAATTGTGTGCTATTTTGCATATTTCTCGCTCGTAAATAGCTGGGCTGGGCATTGTTATATAACCTCAGTCAAAATTTGGACCTTTTTTTTTTGGTTTAGGAAGGTAGTCCGCGGCCACTCGAACAGTCCCCATTATGGCTACTGGCACAGTTTTTCGACCCGTTTGCGACGCCATGTGAAAGAGCATGGTCGGAGTAGTAGGCTTCATGGTTTTGAAAGTTTAAAAAGTTTAATTTTGGGGCTTAAATGGCCGGTAAAGTTGCCTACCCCGAAAAACTATCTCGGAGCTCACTGGGCGGATCTGCATGAAACTTCGGGACAATACCTAATCTGAGGCGCTGGATCATTTTGTAATACATTGCGAAGCACGAAAATGACCGGAACATAGGAATATCGCGTAGTGAAAACAGTTTTTCCGGGTTTTCGTCATGATGGAAAGTTTGCTGTAAGCTGAAAGTTATAGCAAAAGATGCGCAAAAATTTTCTGCGTCGAATGGTGTATTTTTTAGGATGCAGCCAGTTTTCCACCATGTCGAAAAATTTGATATACTAAGCCTCAGCAACAAAAATTCGAAAGTTGCAAATATAAAAAACGTTGCCTGGTTTCTAGAGAGGAAGTCAGACCGATCGCAAAAAAGAGCAAAAAGAAATTCGGCTTCTGTGAGGGGGCTGGGATTGAACTCGGGTCGTTCGCGTGGTCCACTAGTCCCTGTCCCCCGTGCCCCCAAGGTGGACCATCGCGGGTTCGATCCCCGGCAAATCCGCCAGTTCCGCGTAGGAAGGGAATTTCTTTTTGCTTTTGGTTTCGGCTAGTTTTTATATGGGGCTCCATTTACATCTGTTGAAAAGAAGTTTTCTTATACATTTTGAGATGGTTTCTCTCGATTCTAGAAATGCTAATTTTTCGACATGATGGAAAACTGGCTGCATCCTAAAAAATACACCATTCGACGCAGAAAATTTTTGCGCATCTTTTGCTATAACTTTCAGCTTACAGCAAACTTTCCATCATGACGAAAACCCGGAAAAACTGTTTTCACTACGCGATATTCCTATGTTCCGGTCATTTTCGTGCTTCGCAATGTATTACAAAAATGATCAGCGCCTCAGATTAGGTATTGTCCCGAAGTTTCATGAAATCCGCCCAGTGAGCTCCGAAATAGTTTTTCGGGTGGCTAACTATCAACCGGCCATTTAAGCCCCAAAATTAAACTTTTTAAACTTTCAAAACCATGCAGCCCTACTAATTCGACCATGCTCTTTCACATGGCGTCGAAAAAACGGGGTCGAAAAAAACTGTGCCAAGCCTTGTTCGGATGGCTCGCAAACGGCCTTTTAACATCCTACCAGGAAATCGACCCGGGTTCGATCCCACCCGGTGCTATCTTTTCGCTTTTGGATTTTTTAGTCATTTGGATCGGGTTTTTTCATAGAAGTATAATGGTACATCGTAGTAACGTACGAAACATTAAATTATCCACTAAAATAGTTAATTAGACCCCCAAATGGTCGAATTTAACTTTATTATCCTAAACTCCATCGATATTTATCCCTTAAAAATCGTTGTTAATTTAAAATTTTAATTTTCTTTGCGGAAAAGCTGTAAAAAGGACACACTAAGGGTGTATTAACAGCTAAGTACCTACAGAAGGTGTTAAACCACTTTGGTGGCAGGTTTTTGACCAACCCCGGTTTTGACCTCAAAAAGCCCGGTCGGGCCGGCCCGGGCCGAGAAAAATCGCGTCGGGCCGGGCAGGGCCGGGCCGAGAAAAATGGAGTGGTCGGGCCGCGTCCAGGCCTGGCGAGTTTGTAACAATCTTCAAACTATTGAAACTCTAATTTTAATTTTTTTTCTTTAATTAATTTAAACACGCCATTTTACAAAGATTAAAGAACCTTCGCTCCAGCTAATTCACGGCTCTTTTCACCATTTGGCTTGCGAAAATTGAGGCAAATTCGCTCATAAAAGCCTCTGAAAACCCCCCAATTTTATAAAAATGCTGATAAAATAGCGGGTTTAAATAAAAGCATTGTTTTCAAAATCGCTGTAAACGCGCCGTTTTAAGGGCTTTCGAATGATGTAAATATCATGCCGATCCGATCCTTCTGTGCCGGGTTAAAGGGCATGTTCAGGGACGTTTTTTTGGAAAAAAGCAAAGATTTTTGCCGCGGCCGGGGGTCGAACCCGGGCCCTCCGCTCGGGAGGCGCGGATGCATACGAGTCTGCCACAACTACAACCTGGTGAGGGTTGAGGGGGCGCCCCACGCGGCAAAGGAGGGAAATTGCCTCCCACGGCAGGAGCAGGCAGTGCGCGCGGTTCCGACGTCCATAGGGTGTATACGTTGGATCGAGTATACGGCCCCTCCCTGAACGTGCGCTTTAAAGGGGTTTTTTCGGACCCCGTTTCCTATACAATCGACACCCCCAAACGGTAAATCTACAGAATCTGGAATTACAAGATCTCGAACGACAGAATCTCGAATGACAAAATCTCGAATGATTAGAATCTCGAATGATCAGAATCTCGAACGATCAGAATCTCGAATGAACAGAATCTCAATGATAAGAATCTCGAACGATCAGAATCTCGAATTTACAAAATCTCGAATGACAGAATCTCGAATGACAAAATCTCGAATGATTAGAATCTCGAATGATCAGAATCTCGAACGATCAGAATCTCGAATGAACAGAATCTCAATGATAAGAATCTCGAATTTACAAAATCTCGAATGACAGAATCTCGAATGACAAAATCTCGAATGGTCAAAATCTCGAATAAACAAATCTCGAATGCCAGGATTCCCACTGATATCCTAATCTAGTTTCGTCTGGCTCGATCCAGAATAGATTTTTTGTGTATTAGATAGAAGCTAGTAGGCTGTGAGTATGCCCTGCCAAGGGATCGTCCTTTTTGAGCATCATACTTTACAAATAATAATGAATAACATTAGCGTTAAGTCGAAAAATTGGTTCTTTCGACGCAAAGAGCTCAAATTCTTCAAGTGTTTAACTTTTAGATAGTGTTGCTACAGTTATTGATTGCCAAAACCTCCATAGAAAAACTTCAGGTTCAATTACTAGGCAGTTAGTGGAAAATTTCATCCAAAGTGTGTTCTGCTGGATCGAAGTTTTGTTCATTCGAGATTTTGGCCATTCGAGATTTTGTCATTCGAGATTCTGTCATTCGAGATTTTGTAAATTCGAGACTCTGATCGTTCGAGATTCTAATCATTCGAGATTCTGATCGTTCGAGATTCTGTCCATTCGAGATTCTAATCATTCGAGATTTTGTCATTCGAGATTGTGATCGGCAAGCCCCCAAACGCACCTCAGCGCTTTGGATGGCTGGATTGACGGCCGGGGCGTCGAGTTTCATCTTCTCAATGGCATCGCACGGCTTCCGGATCTCGTCGGTCTCCAACAAATTGATCAACTAAACGAGAAATAGAATCAAAAGTCTCTAAAATACCCGATCAAAGCGTTCCATGGCGGCGAGCTTCTCCTTCGAGTCTGTCGTCGAACGGTTGACGGCCTCACCGAGTCTCGCCCAACTACACAAAAGTAACCATCTTAAATCTACAAAAACATACAGCTTCTTCTCGGCCTTGTTCGCCCGCTTGGGCCGTGCCTTTTGCCGCTTCTAGTTTTGCGGCCTTTTTCCTGGAAAAAAGTCAGATTTCCACCTAAAATCGAAAATAGCACTACATTTCTGAATATAATAGTAAAGTTATTGATTTAATAGAATCAATTTCAAGACCAAAAATACTACCTTGGTCACCTCTTCTCGTTTTCCTCGGCTACGGCTTCCTCAGGCTTTCGCTTCTCCAGCTCTTCGGCCCCTTCCTTCTCAGGGCGCAGACGGGCCCGTTCCTCCTAGAAATGAGAAATTACTAACTTCAAAATTCGCCAGAATTTACCGTGATCTCTCCAAAAACTTAATCTGGACGTAGCAGTATCGAATCTCATTTTTTCAGCCTTCGAAAGTCCGAAGATGGTGGAAATTACCGACTAAAGTTTGATTTTGTACAGGCCTTGACAACGGTTGAGCTGGGCCGGGCCGAGGCCCGGAAGCCGCCCCAGCCGACCCCAGGCCCGGCCCGGCCCGGCTACAAAGCCAAAACATGCCTGGCTCGGCCCGGCCCGCGTGGCTGGGCCGGGCCGTCGGGCCCGGTCAGACACCTAGGGTCGAGGGGGTCAAAAAATTTTTCCACTAAGACCCAAGTTAATCGAAGATATAACGACAACTAATAACTATCAACTATTCTTATTTTCTAACTATTAATAAACATAAAACATTAGAAACTGTATTTTCAAAATACAAACATGCCGGATCCGGCCAATGGTAGTCTCGGATAACCATTATTGACCGTTTTGTAGATGCATTGTATAGTTTTTGGTGAAATATCGAACTATGGTTTTCAGAGAACCTTTGGATAAACGAAGTCCGGTTAGAAATCATGCAAGAAGTGTCTTCTAGTCCATTTCAGGCATAAAAATCACAATTCCCGGCCCTACCAACCTAGCCTGCAACTCCCGGAGCAAAAAAATTCGAAAAATAGGGTTTAGAGGCCAAAAACCTAACAAAAGAACCTAAAAAAGTTGGAAAAGTTTCGAAAAATTCCGGAAAAATTCGAAAAAATCACGATTTTTGGCCGGAAATTCGCAAAAATGGCCTAAAAATCATCAAAATCGGGCCCGATCCGGGCCCGACGGGCCCGGCACAGAAACCCGGCCCGACCCGGCCCGGCCCTTGGACCCCAAATCCAGGCCCGGGCCCGGCCCGGCAGCCTCGGCCGGGCCGTGAGGCCCGGCCGTTGTCAACCCCTGATTTGCAGCAAATTTTAGCTATTGCTGCTCGATCCAGACCTCACAAAGCCAGAAACCGAAGGAAATTGGTTTTCTGGACTTTCAACAACATAAAAATTATTACAGTCCGACACTTCTACTAGAGATACAGGGGTGTTTTCGCTCCTCATTCTCGTTATTACCTTAGCCTTCTTTTTTGGTTCCTCGTTCCTTAACTTGGAAATCCTCGGGTCTTTGCTGTGGGCGATGCGCACGAAGTCTGCGATCCTTTTGATCTCTTCTTTGCGGCGTTGTTCCCTCTCCGCCTTGTTCGATTTCTTTCTGGCCCTTCTCTCCCATCGATCCTCACCCTGGTCGTTGCCCTGCTCGTCGTCGTAACTAAAATACGGGAATCACTTATATATAAATTTCTAATGTCCGTGCGCCCGTCCGCCCGCCCGTCCGCCCGTCCGACCGGATCGCTGCGGGACCCCAGGACCGGTTCGGACGGGTCCGGGAGCCCGGGGCGTTTCGGGATTTCGGGATTTCGGTGTATGGGATGTTGATTTAGTATTCTAGCTATTCCGCGGCTCCTCTTTCTTTTTTAGTATCCAGTCAGGTCTGTAGCTATGTTTTTGAAGGTATTCTAGCCATTCCGCGGCTCCTCTTTCTTTTTTAGTGCTAGGGGCGGTTAGGGGGCGTGGGAGAGGAGATACCCCCCAGGCTACGCCCGCCGGCCCGGCTATTCTTGCCGTACTCCGCCTTGCCTCAGGCAATTTTTCTACTGGGAGCGGGAACGACGCACTTTCCCGCCCACCCTTGCCGCTTTTTTTGGCATCGCTCCCCTCTCCGGTATCGGTAAGATAAGATACGACTTGACCATGATCCCGCACCGATGTCAACCGCCCACCGTCCACCATTCCACCATTTTCGGATAATTTCTCTTAGCCTCATCGCGGTTTCATTTAGTTTCTCTTCATTGATATTGTGATTCTACTTCTCATACTGTTTTCTTTCTTTTTTTCTTTCCTTTTCGACTTTTCTTAAGCCTGTTTAGATGTGGGAGGGAGCGCCGCTTCACTCCGCACAGCCATCATCAGGTGCCCGTGCATCTAATAATACAGTTGACCAACCGTCAACGCTCCTTCGTCCAGTTGGACAACCCTTAGCGCACCTTCAACGAGTCGGTGCTATTCCATTTTTCATATGGTTTTCGTTATTTTCTATTTCCTTTTTCGACTTCGCTTTTTAGATGTGGGAGGAGGAGCCTCATACGCCGCAACCAACATCAAGTGGATCTAATAGTGCTTTTCGTCAACCATCGGGGCACGTTCAAGCGGTTGGACAACCCTTAGCGCACCTTCACCGAGTCGGTGCTATTCCATTTTTCATCGTTGTTTTCTATTACCTTTTTCGACTTCGCTTTTTAGATGTGGGAGGAGGAGCCTAATACGCCGCAACCAACAACAAGTGCATCTAATAGCGCACTTCGTCAACCATCGGCGCACGTTCATGCGGTTGGACAACCCTTAGCGCACCTTCAACGAGTCGGTGCTATTCTATTTTTCATCGTTATTTTCTATTACCTTTTTCGACTTTGCTTTTTAGATGTGGGAGGGAGCGCCGCTTACTGGGCAACCACCATCAAGTGCCCGTGCATCTAATAGTGCACTTCGTCAACCATCGACGCATCTTCTTCCGGTTGGACAACCCTTAGCGCCTCCTCAAGTAGTCAGCCAGGTACCCTTTGGCTTTTCGGCCGCGCAAGTGGTGATGTGGGAACACCAGCGCAATCAGCAACGGGCTAATGGGACGCCGATCACGCTGCAGCCGAGGCCGCAAGGAGCGTCGATTACACCGCAACCAACATTAAGTGCGCGCGCTGCTAATGGTGCACTTAGCCAAACACCGACGCAGCTTCGTACCGTTGGACAACCCTTTGCGCCCCTTCAACAAATCGGGCCGTCACGCTTTTCCCTTCCCGATGCGCAGGCGGTGCTTTGGCAACACGAGCGCTATCCGCTGAGCGTGCAGCCGGTGCCGATTATGCGGCCGGGAGCACCGAGTGCGCCGCAACCAACATCAAGTGTCCGTCCCCTTAAAAGTGCGCTTCGTCAACCAACGATACAATTTCGTCCAGTTGAACAGCTTTCCGAGGAACAGCATGCGCTTAGGGAATCCGAGCGTCTTCGACAGCAGGCCCTACGTACCGCTGCAGTTGAACAACTTTCCGGAGCACCGAGTGTGCCGCGACCAACATCAAGTGTCCGTCCCCTTAACAGTGCGCTTCGTCAACCATCGATGCAACTTCGTCCGGTTGAACAACTTTCCGCGGAGCAGGAGACGCTGAGGGAATCCGAGCGGCTTTCAAAGCTGTCCCGACGTAACGCTGCAGTTCCGGAGCAACTGGAGCGCGAACGTGAACGTAATCGGGCACGTCGAGCAAACGCAGGTGAGGAGCAAAGAGAACGCGAAGCGTCTTCGAGGGCAGAGCCCGGCGTGCCGCCGCAGATAGGAGCAACAGGAGCGCGAACGTGAACGTGATCGGGCACGTCGATCAGCCGCAGATGAGGAGCAAAGAGAACGCGAGCGTCTTCGAGGGCAGGCCCGGCGTACCGCCGCAGATGAGGAGCAAAGAGAACGCGAACGTGAACGTGATCGGGCACGTCGAGCAAACGCAGGTGAGGAGCAAAGAGAACGCGAACGTGAACGTGATCGGGCACGGCGAGCAGCCGCAGATGAGGAGGATAGAGAACGCGAGCTTCTTCGATGGCAGGCCCGGCGTGCCACCGCAGATGCGGAACAAAGAGAACGCGAACTCGAACGTGATCGCGCACGTCGAGATGCCGCAGATGACGCACAGCGGCAACGACACCGGTGTTCGATGGCAGCGCAACGAGCGTCCCTGACGCCACTGCAAACATCAAGTGCCCGGGCATCTAATACTGCATATCGACAACCGTTACGGCAACTTCAACAAGCTCGCCAGCGACAAGCAACACTAGGCGACGCACGTGATCCTCTCCATTGGCCGACTGAACATTCGACCGGAGCGATGAATTTTCCGTGCACTGGGTGCGGTGCGCTGCATTTCTTTTCGGAAACAGACAACGGAAAGGCAGCGATGTATACCAACTGTTGCGCGAAGGGGAAAGTGGTGATTGATCCATTTGGTCCGACACCACCCGAATTACGTCGACTATTCGAAGGGCAAACGGCCCTTGAGAAGAATTTTCGCCAACATATCCGCCAGTACAACAACGGACTTGCGATGGCGTCGATGGTAGCCGATCTGAAGACGCCAAGAGGCGGAGGCCCATATGTTTTCACCGTGCATGGTGCGGTGTATCACGCCACGGGCTCGCTACGTCCAGAAGTTGGCATCCCGCCTGTTTGCGCACAGGTGTTGATCCTCGACACTGCTGAGGCGGCTGCAGAACTCGCCGGTCGAACGGTCAACAAAGGTTGTGACGCTACAATATTTTCAGCGCTCCACTCAATGTTGAACAGAGAACACCAATATGCGAGAGCCTTCAAGAATATGGCCGAAGTTGTGAAGGAAGAAGAAGCAAAAGCACAGCGCTCAAACGTGGCGAGGGCCAACAAGGTCTCGATGGTGTTCAAGTACGACAAGAAAGACGACCAAAGGCGCTACAATGCCGCTACAGCCGATGAAATTGCCGTTGTATACGTTGGAGATGAGGAAGAAATTCCAGGTGAACGTGCCTTCGTCATTTATGAACGCGGGCGAGGGCTACAGAAGCTGCACTACCAGGATAAACGGCTCGATGCTTTCACGTACCCGTTACTATTCCCGACAGGAAAAGATGGCTGGCGACGATACATGGCCTTGCAGAACACAGGGCCCGGCCGCAAGTACAACACACTGACGATGAAGAAATACTACGCCTACTTGCTTTTCAATAGGCGCGCCAGTTTCAACCCGCTTCTGCACGCCGGAAAGTTGATGCAACAATACGTTGTCGACGTATTCTTGCGAGCCGAGCAGAGTGATCTACAATACCATAAGGACAATCAAGCACAACTACGTCTCGACAATTTGCGCGGGCTTGAAGACTATGTACAAGAACAAGCAGCCGCAGGAAATCCGGGCGGCCCAGCCCCCGGAAGAACGATCCTTGGATCTAGCTTTCGAGGCGGACCCCGGTTTATGGCTGCCCGTTATCAAGATGCCATGTCCATTGTCAGCAAGCACGGAAAGTCGGACCTGTTTCTGACCTTCACCTGCAATCCTTCATGGCAGGACATCGTCAACCACTTGGCCCCGGGTCAGACCGCTTCTGACCGGCCAGATTTGGTGGCTCGAGTATTCGAAGAAAAAACCACGGCCCTATTGGATGATGTGCTGAAGAAGGGCGTGCTCGGGCAAGTCAAGGCGTGGGTATTCGTCATCGAATATCAAAAAAGAGGGCTACCCCACATGCATATGCTTTTGACGCTAACAGATCCCTGGAAGATATTAAGTCCAGACATCGTCGACACCCTGATATCTGCTGAAATTCCCGACAAAGACACTGATCCCGTGCTCTACGAAATCATCACGACTTGCATGGTGCATCGCGAGTGTGGCCCTACAAATCCACTATCGCCATGCATGAAGGATGGAAAATGCAGCAAGCGCTTCCCCAAGCCATTTCGCGATAATACTGCCCTGAACGACGACGGCTACCCAGAATATCGGAGACGGGACGACGGTCGCCATATAGATGTGCACTCCAAAGGCACCCCCGGTATCGCTTAAGTGCCCATTCAAAAATTATTTTTTAGGCACAACATTCCGCATCGACAATCGGCGCATCGTACCCTACAACCCGTGGCTCTCCAGAAAGTAATATCAATTTACTCATTTACAGGCTTAAATTACCATTTAGGTACCGCGCCCACATCAACCTCGAAGTTTCTGGCAGCATATACGCTGCAAAGTACCTGTACAAATACGTGTACAAAGGCCCCGACCGCGCGAGGCTGCAGCTCGGTGACGATGACATTGATGAAATTCAACAGTACCGGGATATGAGGTACGTGAGCCCGCCGGAAGCCGTATTCCGCCTACTTGGTGGTTCCATGGATGGGCAGAGCGATTCCGTGGATCGCCTGCATGTACACCTCCCCGGCGATCAATCGATCGTTTTCAAGAAAGGGCAACATCAACAGGCACTGGCGGAGGCCCAAGATCGTACTACCACGCTCATCGCCTATTTTGAGAAGAATAAACAATGCGCAGATTACGAGGCAGTAAATGGCATTGCCCCGTTACCTGACTCAAGAACGCTACACTACAACGAGTTCCCCGAGCACTACGTCTGGAGCAAGAATCAGGCCACTGAGAAGTACGAATGGGCTACAAGGCAACGAGGTGGTCATCGCAAAATAGGGCGAATGTTTTTTGTTTCGCCCTCACAGGGCGAACGCTTTGCTCTACGTCTGATCCTGCTCTACGGAAAAGGCTTCACGTCATTTGAAGATTGCATGACCGTCAACGGTGTACAGCATGCGACCTTTGCCGAAGCTGCCCGGGACGCTGGATACCTACGCGATGATGAGTGCTTCAAGCGAGCCATGGAAGAAGCAAGCGGGATGCAAATGCCGGCAGCGTTACGGGGCTTCTTCGTTTCCCTGATCGCCTTCGCGACTCTAGACAAGCAAGCTACTGATGATCTGTGGCTCAAGTACAAGGGCGTGCTCTCCGAAGATTTTCTTCGCAGACACGGCCGACAAGACCTGGCAGAATCATTGGCCTTCTACGACATCATCCGCCGATTGGAAACGCTGGGCAAACGAAAAGACGATCACTTCGCCGTCATCGTGCCCCAGCTGGACCCTGAAAACGTAGAGCCAGACTACGAAATGCACAAGGCATTCGGCGAGCGGTATTATGCACAATTGAATCCTGAGCAAAGACACATCGTCGACCACGTCCTACGGTGCGTTGACTTACAAAATGGAGAAGGTCACTTCATCGATGGACCGGGCGGTAGTGGCAAGACCTTTGTCTACAATACCATCTATCATCTTACGACGGCCAAGAAGTCGAAAGTATTGTGCGTCGCGTGGACAGGTGATCGATTTTCATTATTCTTGCAAATAAAGATTTTTTTTCTCAGGTATTGCTGCCAATTTGTTGCCGGAGGGTCGAACGGCCGCTTCTGCTTTTCAACTTACGGTTGATGATGGGTGCCGTGCTTCATCGATGAAGACAAACAGCAAGAAAGGCCGGGAGCTGGCGAAGGTTTAGCCGTTTCTTAACCTAATGTTTCGTTGTTTTTAGGTGAACATCATCATCTGGGACGAGGCCTCTATGGCCCCAAAGTGCGCACTTGAAGCCACCGATCGCCTGCTACGTGATTTGATGGACAAGCCGAATTTGCCTTTTGGGGGCAAGATCATTTTGCTGGGAGGTGATTTTCGCCAAGTCTTGCCAGTCGTCGAGCATGGAACCCGGTACGACGAAGTGCAGGCCACCATCAAGAAGTCGCCTCTCTGGCCCCAGCTCATCCAACACAGGCTAACAAGGAACATGCGCGTTCGGGGCAATGACGATGGGTTCAAGGTAGGTGATTGTCAACCAATAATATATGCTGTAGGATTTCCTGCTGAGAATCGGCGATGGCGTCGACGTATCTGATGGTGATATGGAAGTACCCGCCGACTTCATTCCAACCACCGACCTTCCCGAAGCAGTTTATGGCGATGCGTTCCGCGGTGTTAGGATTGATCTCTAGATCGTGCTATTCTGACCCCGCTCAACTCCAATGCCTTGATCATCAACAACGAGATCCTAGAACGACTTCCAGGTAAACCACTGCCATCTGACAAAATACATATTGTGATTTTAGGCACCACAATACAAATGTTAAGTCAAGACGAGCTGGAGACGGAGGCAGCCAGTGACGCATTCCACCTGCCCACCGAATTTCTGAACCGAATGATGCCAGCTGCTCTCCCGCCCCATCAACTCAACCTCAAAGTCGGCTGTATTGTGATGCTTCTGCGCAACCTATCGGTCACGGACGGGTTATGCAATGGAACACGACTCATCGTACGCCATATTGGGCGTCGGGTCCTGCAATGCGAGCACATCACGGGAACACACCAAGGCGAGCCAGTGCTAATTCCCAAGATCGACTGCTACTATCGTCATGAGAACAAGTTTCGGATTCGTCGCCGTCAATTTCCGGTCCGCCTGAGCTTTGCTTTAACGATCAACAAGTCGCAAGGCCAGTCCTTCGGATTCATCGGCATCTCTCTGCAATCGCGAATCTTCGGACATGGGCAACTGTATGTGGCGCTGTCCAGAAGCTAGAAGCCGTGCCGGAGTCAAAGTCCAATCACCGGACGGGATGATGCAGAACATCGTGTACAAGGAAGTATTAAACTAAATCGACACCTCCTATTTCACCGTTCTTTATCCTTTTTTATGCAACATCTTTTGATAGATTTGTAGACACCAATAAAACGATACACGTGCAAAAGTTTGCCCGTGATTTCAAAAATACTTTCCTGCCAAAGTATGCACACAAAATAAAAGGGAAAGAAAATGAAACACGCCTTGCCCCCCGGGAGGGCCAGGCAAAAAAAGCCGCGAAGCGGCTTTTTTTGACTGGTTAGATTTAAATTCGATAAAAAAATACAATTAATTAAATAATAGTAGTGAGAAGTAACGGTAATAGTAATACTAGTAATAATTTATGATGAATTAATTAAATTGAAATTACATATAATTATATTTAGTACCTATGCTTCCTCCAGGTATCCCAGTTGAACCAGAACGAGTAGAATTTGTGGACTTCCTCGCGGCTGCTCGATTCGTCGCCGAGGAGGGGCACCGGCTGCGGGATCGAGAATCTCAAAAACCATAAGGGTCATTGAAAATCAATTTACCGTC